TGTTATTTCCACAGGTTTAAGGCCTGCTCCGGGGCGGCGAGGCGGGGCCTGGGCCGCGCAGGCGCCTCTTGCCTCCCGGCTCCGGCGGTGTGGGGGCTGGGGGCTGGGGTTTAACCGTCCTCGTGAGGCGGTTGTGGCGGTTTCTGGGCACAAAGCTCAGGAGTTTTGCGCCGACGCGGGGTTCTTCCCTCGCCTCCGGGCTCGCTCGGTTGCAGGTTGTGCCTGCGGGGCTCCGCCGTGAAACGAGGCTCCTTCGGGGCCCAGCAGAGTCTCCTTCGTCGCCCAGGACAGGCTGGTGTGTGAGGGCTGTGCTCGCTTTGAAACGTGTGTCCGAGCCAGCCCCGGTCAGGCACGTCGCTTGTCTCTCGCGGAGCTGTGGTTTGTACCCGGTTCTTGCACCGTTCACACTGTGGGCTTTGGAGAAGCCCATTCCCGTGGTTGTGGAAGTGGGGTACAAAGAACTGTGAATTGGTCAGTGCCGTGCTGGAATCGAGTTCATTAGTGTGTAACAGGATGATAGCGTGATGCAATGTGGAGTACACAGTGCAATGCAGCATTGCCTGGCACTGTCTGGATTGCAGCAGTTATAAAACTGTGTTCTGGCTACCTACAGTTGTAATCGTGTTGGAGTTTACGCTTTGGTGCTGAAATAAATTAGAGAAGCTAATGCTTGACTTGGGCTGCAGACCTTTACAGGCTCAGAGGTGGTGCTGCAGAATGTAAATGTGCCCTTTCTTAGCATAAAAACATTGTTCCAGATATGCGTTTTCTGCTTAAAGGAGCCATTATAGGCACCTAATTCTATATTGGTCACCAGAATAGTCTGCAGCAGACGTTTCGGAAAGTGCTTATTGCTTTTTCATATGCTCAGGACAGCTGAACATGCTGCACCAATTGGCTGCAAGAACCCAAAGCTGCCACTCGTCTTGAAAATCTAAATTGATGCCTGCAGCGCTGATGTCAATTTGTATGTATAAAGGCTTAATACAGCAAAGGGAAATGTACTGGCAGACAGCAGGAGGAATGGCTGAGAAGAGAACTAGAACCATAAAGAATACTTTTATCAGTCTAATGTCTTGTTTATTCACATGGAATAAGATTTGCTGATTTTCTGGGGCAGGGGGGTGGTGTGGTGTGTGCTGTTTCTGCTACCCATTTAATAGCTATTTCTGCTATCATTACTAAAACCTCAGCAGGGTCATTTGAGATGTGACTGCAAGATACGTTAAGCTGAAGATCACCTGCAGTGTGATGGTGCTTACTCTTGACGTTCTGTCCATCCCTATATCCTCTCTCCTGCAGCAGCCATTACTTACTGAATAAGGAGAGCTTTTCTTTAGTTCTCCTAGTTTGCGCAGAGGAGGCATCACCCACCTTGTGCTGAACCTGTGCCAATGTCCCAAGGACAGATGAGCCGTGTCATTTTATCCTGACGTGTTTCTGTTGATACTATTCTTATTCATGTAGCCGTTTTAATCATTTATGTTTGATGTCATTGAGCAGCATTGCAGAGTTCTGGTTCAGTTGGTGTCCATTGTAAAATAGAAAAACAAGATGATGTGCCATCCACGCTGCTAAATAGGTGCTCTGCAAGGCAGATGCACCTGTCCAAGGCATCTAGCAGTGGTTTAGGTATTAGCAAAATCTTTCCAATTTACTAGACCAAAATAAGAACCCCTTTACCTTTCACAAGCTGTTCAGTGTCTTTCATGTTGCTTTTTCCCTAATCAATTATAAACTATTTTCAGTCTGCACTGGGATTTTCTAACTTCCATCCTAGTACATTATCCTATTTGATGCTTTGGAATAAAACAGGTGGCAAAACTGGCCTTTGAGCAGATTTCACAGCACTGGCCAAGAAATGTGAAAAGAAAACCGTCCAGCAGTATTCTCATTAACTGTGTATTCACGGTTCATCTGTCAAATCTTTTTGAGCAGAGTTTAAGCTCTGTTCTGGAAATCACATGCCTCGTTATTCTGGTAGGCCAAGCTGGTGAGAAGTGGAGGGGAGAGAAAATGCTCTGCAGTCTGGAGCAGCGTAGTAGGGATCACCAGCAACCTGCACTGCACTGAAAAGTCCCCAAAGCTGCTCCTCGACAGTCCTTTTCTCAAGCCTTGAAACGAGGTGGGTTTTGCTATGGATGTTTAAAATAAGACTTTTGTGATACTTTTCTCCTTTCCCAGATTGCTGACCCCGAGACCTGTGACCAAATGTACGAGAGCTTAGTCCGAATCCACACCAACTACTACAAAAACAAGGTGAGCTTTGGCATTAGCCATCATCCCTCTTTAGGGGGTGAGTCACCATTTGCTGCAGTCGGCTGCCTGGTCCCAGCAGGGTTTCTGGGAATGTCGAACAGACAAATGAGCTGTCAGGTGGATGCGGCACTACCTGGTGCCTTTGGTAGCTCCGGGAAAGCTGCAGACATCTTGGCCTCTGTGACGTGTATGAACAGTGCAGATGGTGCGGAATTCTTAGAGCTTGGCTGAAAATGAACTCAGGCTGTATGGTGACATTTTTACCTTTCCTAATGCACTACAAGTGACATCTTTTTCTCTCTCTCCTTCTCTCACCTACCTGCTCGCTTGTGAAGTATCCACGCCT